TATATATATATATATATATATATATATGAAGAAATGTTCTCAGCCTGAACAAAATGGGGTTGCACAAAATTATAGTATTTGATTATTCAACCTCATTTGAGATCCACATGTTCCCAGCCCAAGTTAATTGGGATCTCCATAATTTCTTTCATGCCCATAGTTGGGTGGGGGAGAAGAGATGGATACATACTTTTCCAAAGGGTATTTGTCTGAAACAGAATGTAATGTAATTGACCAGAATTCCAAACTGCTAACCATTATACTTTATATATATATATATATATATATATATATATATATATATATATATATATATTACATGAATCATTCATACAAAAAACAGAAATAGAAGTTATTGATTTAAATGGCGAGAGTACATCTTTGCAAACAAATTTAATAAAGTACATTAACCCCGAACTTGTATATGAATGTTATGTTTATAAATTCCAGTTGCATAAGGTCTTTTTTAGTTTTTTACAAGCTTTCATCTGTTCATACAGACAGCTTCAGGTATGGAAATAGATTTCTTTTTGTTTTTTACTTCTCGGTAATAACAAGACAACGAAAATATAGATGTAATCCGAAAAAATGTTTTTAGAAATGTGTTATTGTTAATTGTAAGAAATTTTTTTTTTTTAGCATGCGGTTACAACGCTGAGGTTGAATTTTTAAATTTTAAGATTGTGCGTTTTTCTACTAATATGGTACAAAAAACTAAAAAAGACCTTATGCAACTGGAATTTATAAACAGGGATCATAACATTCATATACAGGTTTGGGGTTAATGTACTTTATTAAATTTGTTTGCGAAGATGTATTCTCGCCATTTAAATCATTAACTTCCATATCTGCTTTTTGTATGAATGATTCATGTAATGTAAATTGAACTGCATTACATACTTGATATATATATATATATATATATATATATATATATATATAATTTGGCTTTCACTGACCGAGCAGCCAGTACTGCTTTCTGCTGAAATGTATAAAATCTTTCTCTTGAGACACTTTTTTAGGAAAACAGATTTCTCAGTTCCTTCCAAAAATTTCTATTTGATATATTGTGGAATGTTAGCATCTTGATTATGTCATTATTTTCTCTTCAACTTACAAGTGCTGTCAATTTTACTTGTTGCAGCTGTTGATAGTCCTCAAGTGATGTGGTTTCTGTTAGATATATTAATGATGTTATAAACTTGTTCATACTGGAAGTTTACTTTCAGGATAACAGCCAAACAAGATTTTATAATTTACAACAATACTCTTTATAAATGTTCCAAATCAATCCCCTTTTAATGCAATACACTTCTGAAAATAGCAACAGACAGAAAAATTAGCAACACTATCAGCCATCATGACTTTCATGATGTAATTTAGCACAAACACTGAACAAGAAATTCTTTTATCAAAAAGAAAAATCTGAGGACATGATAATTGCATCTTTTATAAAATTAATTCAGAATTTCTCTTTTCTCATTTTGGATTACAAACTGATCTCACAAGCCGTTGCTAGTAAAATAAGTTTGTTCCTCAGTGAATGCACCACACTTGTGAGTCTATGACAGACTAAGCAGAGTAATCATCTATGCATTTGCCATTGAGTCTATTACAGAAATATGGAAAGAAAAAGACATGAAATACAAGTATGAAGCAAACAGATGATAAACACAAATTATTTACCTGTTTAATATTATCATAGGAGTAGCTTACCTTAATAATGGTGTTTTATTTTCTACTAGCAGCATGGCCTGGCATTGCCCGTGCTTGATTCAAAAATCGTACAACTCATACAGCAATCACTATCACTTGACTTAAAATATTTTTGCCCTTCCTTGCCTTTAAAAGAGTGCCCTTTGCTGTTCTGATGTTGCTACATGCCTTACTTCTTGCCTATCTCACACTGCAAATTTTTTCTAAGCTCTATACTAAACATTAAATCTGTTACAAAAAAAGAACTAAACCAAATGAACACAAAACAATCAGCTTTAAAAAAAGGACTTGTAACTGGAAAAACCGAATGAAAAAAGAATGTTAACAACAAATACTTTTTCACACCCAATCCAATTCTATAGAATCAGAATCAACGTTGAGTTTAAGCAAGCGAATGAGCCAATTGGAGTAAAGTGCAATGCAGATTTAAATTTTTCCCCACTTGTGACAAATGCAGCTATCGATTTTTTGCATGCTAGCATGCTAGTTAACATTCGTGTCAGTCAGCTGTTGGCTCTCATGCTGACCAATAGAATCTTCCTGCCTATTCATGGCAGCCAGCTATAGGCTCTCACTCTGTCCAGTAGAAAATGGCCGCAAACTACATGAAAACTGCCATAGAAGCATGAAAAAAATCGATTATTTCCACTATCAATGGGAGTTGGGAAATGCAAAGTCAGTCTTGGCCTTTTCGCTAACTTGGAGTATGTGCATGTAAATTTTGGTGCAAATCCATCGAAAATTGCGGCCGTGCATTTGTTACACACACACACACACACACACACACACACACACATCCTGCCTTTTATAGATAGAGATGAATGCCAAAGTCACAAAATATGCAGAAATACTAAATGATTTGTGACTGAGTAACGTTATAGGAGAATGTCTATGTATACTATTGACAAATTACATCAAGAACTGAACCTGCAGAACTGAATCTTGGGATATTCAAAATGAGTGAATATTTTCTGGATAGATCCTCATTTTTCCACCAAATTTGAATGTTGTACCTACATAAACTTCAAAATATCCTTATTTTCTAGAAAAGCAGATAGAATAAAAAATATATTACAAAACACCAAAACTAAGCAAAGAGTGTATCTAATCAAGTGTGGTAAGAATATCATAAGTTACATAATTGAAAGATTTTAACCTTACAAGATCTGGTGGTACCATGTCAATGTTAAGTCACCATAGAGCAAAAGGAGTAAACCTAACTGTCTTGAGAGTCATCATTTGATGCCTTTCATTTGGTGTGTATGAATATACAAATTGGTTAGCAAACTGATCTCATTTGATATTGATCCAGATTTCTGTTTTCAGTTTTGTGATCTTCTATAAAACATACATTACATTAATTGTTTAATCCTAAAGTGATCCTTGCACACATATTGTCCATGTAACTTTGCCATTTCTTCCTGTCCAAAGCAATTCTTTCAATTGTCAAAAGTAGCATTCTGGTATTCTCTCTGATTTAGTCTTGCCATCTCTTCAGGGGTTTGTCACATGATCTTCTGCCAGCGAAATTGTCTGTGTAGGATATACACACAAAGCTTTGTTCTCGTCTTTTGATTACATAATCAAATCAGCTTAGCCTCCTTTAGAGCATTGGAATGCTTGATCTTGATGAGATATGGAGTAATTTTTGTATTGTTCAGTCTTCCAAAAGCAGTTAAAGCAAGTTCATTTTTTTTATTTATATCATCAAATGTAGCTGGAAAAACTGATTCTAGAAAGACAAAATTTTCAATATTTTCTACAGCTTCCCAATCTATCATGATGTGATGTTATTATTTTCATTTGTCATTACTTTGCATTTGGTTGTTTACTTTTAATTCTCATTTCTTGAATGCATTTTTAAAGTTCTTTTTTTAGACAGTTTCACTTTTGCAAATATTTGTGAAATTGGTTCCATATCATCAGAATATCTATAAAACCAAATTGAGTAAATATCTCAAAACCCTGTTAAAGAGCAAAAGTTTGCAAAACAAATCCCTCAGATCATTGTTAGAATATTGATTTGGAGTCACAGAAAAGGCTTTAAGATCATGCTAAACTAAGTTTCACTTTGTAAATATCTAAAAGCATGTTGTTCAATGCATCTTCAGTTTTGTGGCTTTGTGCCAGACAATGCAATGTTTAATAAATATTTAGAAACTTCCATGAGAATAATTTTTATTTGCAAGGTAGTCACACAAAGCTATGTTTGTGAATTGGGTTTAGACCTCATGAGTGCTCCTTGATTGTAGCTTTGTGTAAGCCTATGCTATATTTAGCAAATATATGCTTCAGTTTAAGAAGTGATACTTGATACTTGACAGAGTCACACTGGAGTAATGGATTGCAGCTCGGATTGAGGGATCAGAGAGTCAAATTTGAATTCCATTAAAGTTCATTACATTCACTAATGTGCTAATACCCTTGGAAAAGGTATGAATCCATCTCTTGTCCCCCACCTATGGGTAAATAGAAGACTGATCTAGAAGAAGGAAAACTCTTGAATTCAAACCAGCCTGGAGAGGTTTGGGTTCTATCAGGTTATCTTTGACCAAGTCATACCACTTCCCCTTGGGCTGCAGTACATGTGGGGCTCCTATTACACTCATGAGGTACAGGACTCATGATCATGACTTGTAATTATTGTGTTGTTGGCAAATAAATTAAGAGTGTCTCAACAGAAGCAATCTGTAGAGTTTCATTTTCATGGTGTTTAACATTTGAATGTTCAATATTTCAATTAAAAACATGAAATGTTTTATCAATAAATTGGCTTATCAAATATTCTTCAGATATACACTTAATATAATTCCCCATCACATAAAAGATTTGGAGTGACAAGGAAAATTTTTCCTTTTATTCTCAATGAATGAAAAGTTCTCAGTCCAATCAAGAGCAGATTCCAAAATAAGCTCTGGTCATTTGGTCAAATATTGGGGAACAGGTTAAGTCAACATCTTTTCAGCACCCCTGTTAATTTGAAACATTCAATAAATATGGAAAGAGATATTTTGTTTTAAATGCTAGTGAAGGTAATGACTAGTCCAGTCTACTATTCTGATTTCTGCACACACCAATGTTTATTTATTATGAAAGAAATCCGTATTTGGTGAGGTAGTTTAAATATAGAATGAAGCAAGCCTACTTCTCAAATCTAGCCCTGAGATTTGCAAGTGGAAAACAATTATCGATTCAGTAATTAAGGTAATTCAGTTATCGTAACGTGTTACTCTGCCGGTCATAATATTGGCCACTATTTTTTCATTTTCTTTCTTTCACTGAAGCTCATTCGAACTAATCTTTCCTCTCTCTTTATTTCACTATCTTTTTCTCACTGTCTCTCACTCTTTTACTTTCTCTCTTACCATCTCTTTCTCACTTTCTCCTGCTCTTTCATTTTCTTTCTTTCCATTTCTCCTTGTTTCCCTTTCCCCATCTCTCACTTTCTCTCACTCCCTCTCCTTCTCCACTTTCTATCGCTGTTCTTTGTTTCTCACTTTCTTTCATATTCTCCCCATCTCTTCTGCAGCGTATTTCACACTTTCCCTACTCCCATTTAACTATTTCCATCTCTCTCTCTCTCTTTTATTTTCCACCTGGTTTTCTTTTATACTCTCTTTTTCTCTCCTTCTTATCATTATCAACTAATTTTCTCTTAATTTCTTTCTCTCTTAGTCCTACTCATTTCTCATTTTCTCCTTACTTCTTTCTCATCTTCTCTTATTCTCTTTTCACTCTCTTACTGTCATCCTCTTTTTCTATCTTACTCTCTCATTTTCTTTCTCACTTTATTTCTCTCTTTCTTATGCTCTATCTTTCTCACTCTTTAGTTAAACTATTCTTATTTGTTTTTCTTCCTTTTTTATGGGTTTTTGTTGTTTTTCAGTTGAGATTTTATCCTGAGATATACTTTTTTTTATTTTTAAATTAAAACTTTCATATTGTGTTTTTGTTCATGGTCATTTCGTCTTTCTCTTCTGGCCAGACACTTGTAAAGTGTTTGCAGAATAATATAAATATTTTTAGTCTGAGATACAAAAATAAAGCAAGAAAATATTTATTATCTTTTTTTTTTTTTGTCATTGCAGAATTTTCATGGGTTTTGGTTAGACAGAAAAAATATTCATGAAAATATCTTAAATTTTTAAAAATAGGGGAATAAAAATTAACATACACTTTATCAGATTTCATTAGACAAGTTAATGTTTTCACAACACCAATTGCTCTTAACCAATCAGTGTTGGTAGAATTTTTGAAATATATTCAGATGAGCAATTTTTCAAGTCAATTTCAGCTTAGAATATTTACTATATTTTCTTATTTTCTATTTTCTTATTTATATATTTTCTATATTTTCTTAGTAAAATATTGATAATAACTTGTGAGGGTAAAAGGTTTTATTATCAAACAAACTAAATGCAGCAGACATTTTTTATTTATGTAGAAGTTTGAGAATAACCAAAGGCATTAAACCTCTTCAGTTCTGGTAAGTGTAGTGGATTGGTAAATAGGATTGTACCTATTTGCATATGTTAAGTAGAAGAGATATAAAGTGTATAGTAAAGTAAGAGACAGGTGGGAGTTGACTACTAATCACATGTCATAGAACAACACAATAAAACAATTTATAAATACATACAAAAAATAAAGACCATCAAAATATATATTTCATTGACACAATATCCCATATACATGAACACATTATTTTACATTTTAATATATTCTCCTTCACATTCTGTCATCATCAGAAGTCTTTTATCCATTGATTTTGTTAACTTTTCTACTGTTAAACTTTAACATTACCTGCAACAATTTTTATTGCATCCCAGAGATCTTTGATTGAATATTGTTTTCCATTTTCACATACATCTCTTTTAATGATGGGCCACAAATTTTCTGATGGATTAATATCTTGAGGTGCTGGGAGCATTCAATTAATTTGATGTTTCTAAGACATTTTTAACAATGTTGGCAATATTGAGCATTGGATGTTTAGCGAATAACTTCTTTGTTATAACATCTAACTTTAAAAACATGTATTTTCCAAAAACTTACAATATTTCTCTGGATTTATGTTTGCATTATCATCAACAACTTTCAAAAGACCAATAATTTAATGCCCTATGTTACGAGCTCAAAGTATTTCTTTAACTTCTGATTTATAGTGCTATAAATCATATTAGTTGAAAATTTTCACAAAGAATACAACCTCTAATCAGGTCAAGTCAATGTAGTTTTACATTTATAATGAAACATTACCATTGAAAAATCAGTTTTTATGTACTTTGCCCAAATTTCACATTTCTATTTGTGATTTTTATGTAAGTATGGTAATACGCTTTCTTTAATATCTTTAGCCAAATTTTTTATATTCTGCTTCTTCAAATATTTTCAATCCATTTTTCATTCTTATTACTCTTTTCAAGTTTTCTCAGATCTCCTTTTATGACATTCTTTAGGCCAGTTTTTCTAGTTTATACAATTATATACATATGTGAATAAATAAAAAAGGTGTGGTAAAAGTGAGGAGTTATTTCCCTTTTGATATGTAGTCATGTGACACCAGTGTTTATGGGACACAATAGAATATAAGCAGTACTGAATTGAAGAACATACTTTCTTCATGAACCAGTCCAACAGGGGACATGATGCAAACAAACATTTCATTTTGGCCACTTTCTTTCTCATTATTTTTGCCACACACTACACACATAGGCACAACAGACATTGAAAAATGTTCATGTCAGTCACGCTAAAACATGGTCCCTGTCTTTTTCTTTTTCTTCACATTTCAGCTTTTCTTTTTATGACATTTCTTTGAATATGTTTATGACATATTCCACAATTAAAATATATATTAATATATAAGTATTTTGGAGGAAATTAAAATTGCCTCATGACAATATTGGCAATTTTTAAAATGTTAATTTTTTTGCTTTTTTTCAAATTTTTAGAATTTCTAGTTGTTTTTCTATCACTTAATAACTTTTCAAGATCTTGCTTCTTACAACACTTGCTAATCTTTATATATCTGAATTTAAGAAATAAATACCAATAACTATATGTTATAAGCTTTAAAGTTACGTTGTATATTTATCATGTATATATGTATATATATATATATATATATATATGGAATGATGATTTTACCTTGTACTTATAACATTTATATATAAACAGACACCACTCTTTCATATATATATATATATATATATATATATATATATATATAATGAACTCTCCCCTGTCAGTTTCAACTTATGAGGATCTGACAGCATATTGATTCTGTTATGAAATTTTGTGTGATAATCTTAAGTGGCATTTAAAACCCTCTAGTGATTTACAAAGGAGGCCACATATGAAGCAAGTGTGAGGATTGTGAAATGAGATCACTGTTAGATTGGCTCACCTTTTAGATCTTGCTCTCACTTCTTGAAGATGATTCAGACAAGCAGATTGAAAATTGCTGAGTCCACTAATTTTTGGTCTCCATTATATATATATATGTATGTATATATTCTGAAAATGTTACCAGAATTGATTGGCTAACACCAATTTTATTTTGAAAACAGAGTATTGTATAAAATAATTCCACATAATATAGACTAAATTAACCACATGCATTTCACTTACCATTTCGCAAATACAGCTTAATAGTTTAACCAATATATCAGTAAGATAATGTCTTTATAGGAGAGTGCTTTGTTTACCCATTTTTTACCATTAGTCATTGTGACATGCCAGGGATGAAACTTTGATCAAGATTTTTTAAATCAATTTTCTATATTAATAAAAAGTTTGAAGTAAAAATCATTGTTTTACTTTCTCTAGGAATGTCTTTATATACTGGAAAAACAAACATTTTTTTTCAATGACTTATTTTTGAAGTCAACATCAAACAGAATGATGAAACAAAAAAGCAATAATTTGTGTGCAGTAAAGATGAAAAACTGTTCAATCAGAAAAGATAATTGACCTGAGAACATCACATTAAAAGAAAATTCAAACACAATCTGATTACATGAGGAAAAAAAAATAGTAAACACATAAAATATGTTTATTTGTTTAAAAATTGGCAGTAATAAAATTTTATAGTAATATATCTGACACTTGTGACTTGCTGCAGTATAAGAAAATTTGACTTACAGGATGGTGAATTCATCAATTGCAATATAGGAAGCTGTTTTCACAGAAGTCAAGAATTTATCATGATGTTACTTTTGATAACACTATAGTTGCATCTACTTACTAAAATTGTTACAGTATGTCCACAAGAAAAATGATTTACTGACTTGCTAAGTGGCAGTCATCACAAACAGTACATCACTATTTGAAAATAGAGGAAGCTGAATTCAAAAAGATTGATGGGATTAAAATTCATAAGTAAGAAATTTGTTTTATTACATATTTGTCTTTATATATATATATATATATATATATATATATATATTTACATTTAAATTTACATATATATATACTAGCTTAAAAGCCGCCCTATCAGGTGTCATTTAAACTTGCTTCTGAAGAGGGCTCTTGATTAGGCCTTCAGTTTGTTCAGAAGTTTGAGTGTCTTTGCATATTCTTAACATTGACAGCTCTTCAGGCTGCCATTTGATCTGAGTTTTCATTTACATGGGACTTTCTTTTCCTTGATGCAGTCTTGGCTCTTTTGATTACAATCTGGTCATTTGTTGGTGGAGATTTTCTTTTTGCAAGCCATACTGCTGCTGTATGCGATAGGCAACAATAAACTACCAAAGAAGTCAAAATTGATCACTGCATTTAAGTATTGCATTAATATTTAAGCTTACTTTTTAAAAGTTCAACAATGATTCTTCTGCTGCCACTTAATTTAAAGACAATTTGCAGGTCCTTACTTTCTGTACAAACAGATATTTTTATTTCATGGGTGACTTTTGCTAGATTTCACAGTTAATTTTTAATTATTCCCAAATTTATTTCCACGTTATAAAAACTGATATCATACAAAAGAAATTGTCACAAAAAAATCACATAAAAATTGCCAAAAACAATCGCAGTAATGAAAACTTAGGAATCCAAAATTTCAAGATTGCAGGTCTTGATCCAGGCCAGAATACTTGTAATTTCCTCATGGAGACAGCCGGATTCCAAAATGGTATGATATGTTGGGCTACAGCCTCTAGGAGTAAAGTTGAAAAAGTGTGACACTGACATTCACATTTATTTATATAGATAACAAGAACCATGAATCTATCTAGAGATACCAAACCATTAACTACTAATCAAGCCAACTCCAAGTAAAGGTTATAAGTTAGACTGCAGGATTTATTTAGTTTATAGTTCCTGCTAGATTAGTGGTAGACCACTTTTGACCTTATATTAACATTAGAAACCCCAATAAGAAGAAAATAAAGTTTAGCTATTCATTAAAAAAAAAATATAGATGAAATTCATAGTAATGCCTGCAGGTACATGTGTCAAGATGGATTCCAAGTTGTTTGCATTATTACAGCCCTTTCATGGTCTTGTTTCTCATTTCAGTTTCCTTTTATCTGTAGACATTGAGTGCTATTGGGTTTTGTTAATGTTAGGCAATGATTGCTTTTTTTGAAGTCTTCAATATTTTGTTTTTGGCCTTTTCACACCATGCAAGACAGTAAAGCCACTACGACACAAGGGGTTACTGAAAATGAAAGAATAAGGAAAAAGAGAAACATTATTACGGAACAAGAACAGCAGAAGTGTAATCAAGAAGACAGTAGATAATGACTGACATTACATTTAAATTTTTGAAGATCAAAGTTGACTGGAAAGCAAGAAGGATGATAAAAGAAACTGTTAGCATAGAATTTATGGTTACGTCTTTGCCAATTCGAATGTGAAATCATGAGACCTTGTCACCAATCTAGTACTGCTCTTAAATTCATAGTCTAGATACCACAGTGAATA